AGATAAAGAATAAAATGAAATATTAAAAACACGATGTATCTCGCTGCATTGCGCGAGTACGCTTCTAGTTTTAAAATAAAGATGGTTTATTAATTATTATAATTTTATAAAAATAAGATTAAACTACAAGTTTGGTCCCTACGGTTTGTAACAATAACAATTTTGGACTCTACGGTTGCGAAACTACAAGATGCCTATTGTGGTTTATAAAAACGTTCATATTTTGTCCTTCCCTCTAACATGTTCTAAAGAATTTCTTAAATGATTGGCATTTTCGTTCTTTAATCAAATTTTTATTGTTTTATCCAATCAAATACCACAAGGACCAAAATTATAAAATCGATTTTGATTGAGTTAAAAGACTAAAAAAAAATCAATAAAAGAACAAAATTTCCTTATTTAATGGAATTTTTTAACGATTGTTGAAAAGAGTGACCAAATTCAAACGCTTTTACAAAAATATGATGGCCGTCTTGAAATTTTAAAACCGTAGAAAGGAAAATTGTTATTTTCGACAAGCCATGAGGACCAAAGTTGTAGCTTACTCCAAAATTAAAAGTTTTCTAATGTGTTTCATAAAAACAATAAAAAAAATTAAAATTATAAAAAGAATTTTAGAGATTTTAGGTTAATTATTTTCCTTAACAGATTCTTTAATAATTTTTTTAAAATGAGAAAAATAAAAGAGATGATATAATTATCTAAATTTGAATAAGGGGCTGTTTACCAAATTTTTTATTAAGTCATGTATGGATAAATTTGTCTGTCTAGATAAATTTGGCTGTCTGGATAAATTTGGGTTGTTGTTTACTTTTCTATCTGAATAACAGTCTGAATAACAAAAATGACCAATTTACCCATGAGGATTAACTATGGGCTGTTTAGTATACAAACAAGCTGCTGTTATACCAAGAATGTTATACAAACCCAGAAAATTCGAGCAGCAAACTAGCAAAATCGATGCATCAAACAAACTAGGAAAATCGAGCAGCAAACTAGCAAAATCGATGCATCAAACAAACCCAAA